CCCCCCCCCCCCCCCCCCAACGTATGGAAGTAGAATCCTACTGCGGTTTTACTCAGCCAAGCCTTAAAGAATAGCAAAAATAGGAAGAAATTGTGTTTGAATGAGGGAATGAAGGGGACAGTTGTCCAAATAGTCCCTTGAACTGAGAAAAATTGAGAAATTGCCTGAGGCAAGACGAATTAAGCATATATTAAATTGGGTGAAGTTCAATATGAGGTAGGCAAATTATGATGAGGATTAGGTGTGGATCACTAAAATTTACTAAACGCGGCATGAGCTGAACGCGATTTTACTATAGAACGTCATATATAAATAAGGTAAGGCTACTAGATCTTTGTAATGTGTACAAGATGCATCAAGAAGTATGGTATTCGAGCATTTTGCTTTAATTGCCACTACTGTTTTTTTCCAACAAATGCGAGTGTGAATTTTGGCATGCTAGCTCTACCAGTAACCCACATTCTGCGTTAATGTTAATCCGCGGACTGATATGTGTCCTACTGCAATAGGCTGTCGGTATCTTTGCCATTCGTCCACGGCAATGAACTTGGTGGCTTCCAAAGTGCCACAGACGCAATCGCACCATTTTATGGCAACTATTTTAAGCGAACTATGTCAGAAGATTGTTGATTCGTCATATTTTTTGTAATATATTAATGAATCATTTATGAAAGCAGTAAATTTGCAGTTATTGAAGCTTATTAGTAATCAACATTTATTAAATCAGACGCATATAATTAAATAGATAACTCTGGTCTTCACGCTTTTTTGACAATTTTTTGGCTTTATAATGACAGCTGTTGAAATTCTTTTTCATATACAGGTATTTATGAAACTTCTAATACATATATAGCACCCTGGGCTATACAATTCTGTACTCTTTTATTGAGGTAAAAATTAGGAGTTTCTATTTCTTCTAACGGCAAAATCTGGGACGTTGACAAATTCTGTAGTTCCAGTAGAGTCCATTCAAATATATTACATAATTGAGCTGTTTATTTACGACAAGAGAGAGGATTGAAAACTTAAATGAGACAAAAATTGATGTAGACTAAAATTTAGAAATGGTACATTTATAGCAATTCATTAGCCGTCTTCTTGCTTCCCATTATCTCTGGCTTTCCGTTCTTGTCTTTAGAGCTGGACACCGAATCAGGTGAGTCTTCTCCGTTTGCTCATGTAGGTTACATTGGGAGCATGTGGGTTGAGTGTATACTCCCAATCTGTGAAGGTGTTTTGCCAGGTAATCGTGTCCGGTACGTAGTCTAAACTCAGCAACGGCTTCGATTCTTGGCCAGTCGGCTACATAGGAGAGTGCCACTGTCCACTGTTTCTAGTTTGTTCGAGCTTTAAGTTAGTAACACCTTGAGGTCTTGAATTCTCTTCTGATTAAGGCCTTCATTGTGTGGAAAGACATCGGCCGGTACATGCATTGCAAAATTGTTGTTCCCTTCTTAGCATGTGTGTCAGCCACCTCATTGCCTTTAATGGCCACAGTGACCAAGAATCCATTGTAGGACCACTGTTTTGTTTTTCTCTCTCAGCAGCTGATAGAGTTTTCTACATTCCTTTATCTCAGCTGTTTTGGGTGGCTCTCTGTTTTCAATTGAGTTTATTGCTGACTGTGAAACCGAAAGTATCACCGCTTTGGTGAATTTCGTNATTAGCCCTTAAACTTTGGCTTCAGCTTCCTCATGGGTGGGGGGTTCATGTATAGCAGTTAATTAATAGCAGTTCATTAACTGTCTATTGCTTCCCAGTATCTCTGGCTTTCCGTCGTTGTCTTTAGTTGCTTCCCAGTATCTCTGGCTTTCCGTCCTTGTCTTTAGAGTGGGACACCGAATCAGGTGGGTCTTCTCCATTTCCTCTTGATGAACACCGAATCAGGTGGGTCTTCTCCATTTCCTCCTGTATATATCTCTGGCTTTCCGTCGTTGTCTTTAGGACTGGACACCGAATCAGGTGCCCTATCGTTGTCTTTAGGGCTGGACACCGAATCAGGGGGGGCTGTCCTTGTCTTTAGAGCTGGACACCGAATCAGGTGGGTCTGCGTTGTCTTTAGAGCTGGACACCGAATCAGGTGGGTCATCACCATTTCCTCCGCTAGACACCGAATCAGGTGGGTCTTCTCCATTTCCTCCTTTGAACACCGAATCAGGTGGGTCTTCTCCATTTCCTCCTGTATAGCTGGACACCTAATCAGGTGGGTCTTCTCCATTTCCTCCTGTAGGTTACATTTCAGATGGGTCTTCTCCATTTCCTCATGTAGGTTACATATGGTGGGTCTTCTCCGTTTCCTCCTGTAGGTCACATAGACAGGTGGGACTTCTCCATTTCCTCCTGTAGGTTACATAGAGTATGTGGGTTGAGTGTATACTCTCAATCTGTGAAGGTGTTTTGATGTAGGTTACACAGAGGGCATGTGGGTTGAGTGTATACTCTCTTAGATTAAGAATCAGATGGGTCTTCTCCATTTCCTCCTGTAGGTTTCACATCAGGTGGGTCTTCTCCATTTCCTCCTGTAGGTTACAGATCAGATGGGTCTTCTCCATTTCCTCATGTAGGTTACATATGGTGGGTCTTCTCCGTTTCCTCCTGTAGGTCACATAGAGCATGTGGTTTGAGTGTATACTCCCAATCTGTGAAGGTGTCTTGCCAAGCTATTTGTATACTCCCAATCTTTGAAGGTGTTTTGCCAGGCAATCCGTCGGTACGTAGTCTAAACTCAGCAATGGCTTCGATTCTTGGCTAGTCGGGTATGTCGGAGAGTGCCACTGTCCACTGTTTCTCTAGTACGTAGTCTAAACTCAGCAACGGCTTCGATTCTTGGCCAAAGTCTAAACTCAGCAACGGCTTCGATTCTTGGCCATTCGGCTATGTGGTAGAGTGCCACTCCTAAACTCAGCAACGGCTTCGATTCTTGGCCATTACGTAGTCTAAACTCAGCAACAGATTCCATTCTTGGCCATGGTAGTCTAAACTCAGCAACGGCTTCGATTCTTGGTAACCGTGTCACGTACGTAGTCTAAACTCAGCAACGGCTTCGATTCTTGGCCAAAGTTAAACTCAGCAACGGCTTCGATTCTTGGCCAGTCGGCAACGGCTTCGATTCCTGGCCAGTCGGTTATATCGGAGAGTGCCAACTGTGTCTATCTCCTGTGTTCGAGCTTTAATTTCGTTGCACCTTGAGGTATGTTTTCTCCTTTGTTCGAGCTTTAAATTCGTTGCACCTTGAGTTCTGGAATTCTCTTCTGATTAAGACCTTCATTGTGTTGAAAGACATCGGACTCTCATGTGAAAGGCAAAATCGTTGTCCCCTTCTTAGCAAGTGTGTCAGCAAGGTCATTGCCTTTAATGCCACAGTGACCAGGAATTCATTGTAGAACTTACCCATTGCATTTAATGCCACAGTGACCAGGAATCCATTGTGGAACCACGCTTTGTTTGTTTTTCTCTCTCAGCAACTGTGTTTTTCTTTCTCAGCAGCTGATAGAGTTTTCTACATTCTAGTATCTCAGCTGTTTTGGGTGGCTCTCTGTTTCCAATAGAGTCCTCAGCTCTTTTGGGTGGCTCTCTGTTTCCAATTGAGTTTTTTGCTGGCTGTGAGTCCGTAAGTATCACCACTTTGGTGAATTTCGTATCGAGGCAACATA